AATGTTCGATGTTGCGGGGTTGCGTAAATGCACTTCCTGAGAATCGATCAAAGCTTGTGCAAACCGAGTAAGAGACTCGAGCTTCTGCTTGGCTTGAATCGACCAGTACACTGGGCAGCCTTTCGGCCGGTGCCTGCACGCTTCTCCAGAAACGTTGTGGTGAAGCCCGGCTCAGATAACGCTTTGCTACTACTGCAGAGACGTCGCGCGAACATCTCATGCCAGAGACTTCACGAAACCGGCTCGACAGTGCGAAACGAAGCCCGAAACCCTCTGCAACCCCAAAACCCTCCCCACAAAAGCCCGGTACTCTCCCCGCGAAGCCCGAAACCTTGCATGGCAGGAAATCCCAAAAAATTCCCTGCGAAAGCCCAACAAAACCAAAACCCTTTAAACGAAAGCCCCAAACCTGCCCTGCCCTCAAAGCCCATAAAGCCCTCCCGAAGCCCGAAACCCTCCCCCGCAGCCCCGAAACCCTTCGCCGTGAAGCTCGAAACCCTTCCCCGCGAAGCCCAGGTCAAGAGCGTGAAAAGCACTCTGGCCTGCCTTCGGCGACTTTTGATGGGCCCATGCACATCACCACTACTACATCATCCAGGCCACACGGCTGCAGGGCAAATGCACTTTCGCTGCTCGGTCAAGGGGCCACCGCCCGTGTATCCTGAGGAAGCTTGGACTACGACAGTATCACATCGAGGCGAAGAATGTCTAACTCGACTTTCAGTAGATGCCCGATATCTTTAGCGCTTTTTCTGTCCACCCCCCCCCCCCNNTTCCGCTTTCTGCGAACTCCAGGACAACATGCTACTGATGCTGGTCCGATCTCAGATTCGCCTACTTTGCAGATCTGTCAGACAACGATCAACTCGCACTCGCTGGCTTTTCAGCTCGCTCGTCTTCTCGCGGCTCCGGACACATGCCGGATGCTCGAGTGCCAAAGGGTACCAAAGCACAGCAGGAGCCTTCCAGCAGACGGAGTGGTAACTTCTGGTGTGCCAAGCGCGTGGCATAGATCGCGAGCAGGGAGTTCTGCTTCGGGCTGAGGTCTGGCTTAACTGCAAACGGCTCGTCGGTCCCTCTCTGTTTCTGCGGTTCCAGAAGTGCTTGGGCCACGTTCCCCACACACATCGCGAGCCCGGCTGACGCATAGCCCCCTTCAAGGCCAAAGAGGAGGCGGCCGTGGCAAAGGTCTTGGGCTAAATGCTTAAGTTCCCGGGTGATCTGGCCAAAGATGTTGGGAGTACAAGTCGCATCACCCAATGGATCTCCTGCCACAGCATCGAAGCCTGCACTGACAAGCACCAAATCTGGCCGGAAAGTCCGGGCAGCAGGAAGGAGTACTTTTGCACAGGCCAGCCACAAGCAGGCATCTCCGTAGCCCGGAGGCATCGCAACGTTCACGGTGTAGCCCTTGCCTTTGCCACCCCCAGTTTCCAATGCTGTGCCGGAGTTGGGATAGAAACCCGGCTCGAACTGATGAACGCTCACGAACAGAACATCAGGGTCTGACCAGAAGATCTCCTGCGTCCCTTGTCCATGATGGACATCCCAGTCGAAAATCAAGACGCGCTTCACGAGATCAGGATACCTGCTGCTGTTGCGAATCGGGCACATGGAATGTTTACATAATACTTAGTTTGACAAGCTGTTTGAGTGATGTCGGACTGAGTCGGTGCTCGTGCTCCCGGCCTAGCTCTTGCATACTGCGCCGCCAAAGCCACGTTGTTCAGGAGGCAGAAGCCGGTGCTACTGCTCAGCCCGGCATGATGCCCCGGAGGCCGGCAAAAGGCGAGGCCCAGCAAACTGCCGCCACCGAGGCATTCCTTGGCAGGCAAAGCTTCGATCGACGTTCAAAAGATTCCAAATTGTCTCAACAATATAAAACAGACCTCCTTTCAATGTTTTCACGAGTAGGATGCCCGACCTGTGCAACCACAAAACACAGCAGCAAAAAAAAACAGCACGAAGCACGATGCAGACCAGGCGTCGTCCACCAGCGACAGCAGGGCACCTGAAGCAAAGCGTGCGGCCTGGAGTTGTGCGAGGTGGTTCAGACTCGATGAGCCAGTTTCAGTGTACATGGGACTTGTCGTGAAAGGTGGCACTTGGCCCGGGAAGCTTCAATGACCTTCAATGTTGGAGAAGGACGGGACACTATGCATCCTGGGATTGAAGGCGTCACGACTAGCATATCACTAGCATATTACTAGCATCTTCGCGCAAGGGGCATGGGAAGTTAGGGTTTTACTAAGCTCAAGTTGGCAATGCAATGCAACGCAGGCGGGCCTCGAGGGATCCCTCCGTGATGTAGGTGTCGCGACCATCAATCTCCTTGCTCGTCAACGCCTCCTGAAGCAACTCAAGCTTTTTGCCTCTTCAAGATGGCAAGCTCTTCCAACACTTCCTCGCCAATGCCGTCGAGACAGCCGCCAGGCGGCAGCCACAAGGGGCGCCTCGTCACAGACCCACTCGAAGCCTCGAGCTTGGGCTCCCGCTCTTTTGTCCCATGTCTCGGAAATGCACTCATTGATGCTACTTGCAGCACACTTCAGCAACCTGCCTCAGGCGTGCAGCGGCCAGGGATGCTGCCTTGAGGCCTGATCGCTCCGAAGCCACCGCAAGAAAGCTCTGGGCATCTCTGGAGCCTCAAACCCTCTCTGCTGAAGTGTGGTGAGAGCGACAAATTGGAAAGGCATCGTGCCCCTGAAGGAATCACACCATGTCAGAGCACCGCCGAACAGCTCAACCTCCGCGACACTGGCCTTCCAGGTGCTCCCTGGAATGGCAGAGAACCAGCTCCTTTCTTGGGCCGTGAAGGCTTGGATCCCTGCCGCTCCCAAGTCAACGTCACTTCACGCTAGGCACGTCACTCTGCAAGCGCAGGCCAGGCAGCAGCAGTGACGTGATGCTAAATCTTGCTTGCTCGCTCGCTCGCTCTCTCTCTCTCTCTCTCTCTCTCTCCGTCTGCATCCGCGGCTCCTCATCTGAAGCCATCCGAGCCTTGGACACCGCAGGAAGACACCCAGTCTGCTTTTGCTGAAGCTCTGCTGAAATTGCTGAACATCACTTCAGCCCAACACTAGAACCGAAGCTGTCCACTCATCTCAAACGAGCACAGCAGCTAGAACCGAAGCCTGCGAGGTCTCACACTACAGCATCCGGGACAATTTGAAGGTAGGGTCCGCTTGCCACGTTTTGTACTTGCTCTGGTTCCGTGAATTCTCAATCACTCTTTTCATCAGCCGCGTCAAAGTCACAACTGGTCTGGTAATGTCGTCAATGACATGTCGCTTGTGCTTTTCATTTGCGACCCGTGACATCGACAAGCGGGCATGCTCTCAAGAGCGTCGTGTAGCTACGAGTTCGAGACAGACAGCCTCCATGAGTCCAACGTCAACCTAGCCCAGATGTGCATCGGATTTACATTGTCGCGGCTGTTATGCGTCTGACGCTAAATTGCCTTGGACATGCAATGCTGCCTCCGTGAGTGTACAATGCTGACACTGGTACTGGCTTCTGAGGCTTGGGAGGTGTGCCTATCGCAGCAAATCTTTCAGAGGAAACGATCACGCCTGAAACCTTCCTTGCCTTTTGCCCAGGCACAGGAAGGCACGTCAGCTTGGGCCACAGGCCTGGCATGCGAGGCTCGGCCATGCTGTGCAGAAGCCTTTTTATACCCACGTGCCTGCCAGCGTAATGCCCGCAAGGCAGGCACGGAGACGCTGAGGCTCCTTTCGGGCTAGACTTCCGAGTGAAGCGATCGCGAGCATGATGCCGCAATCAACAAGACTAAATCCTTCCTTCAACATCCCAGATGAACTGCACAGTCACCCACCAGTCACCCACATGTATTCCCGTTCATCCACAGATCCACATCCACCCGCAGCCTCCGGGTGGCTCGTGGTTTTCCGTCTCTTTCTCTTAGGTGCTGCTGGGTCACCATGCTGGCAATGTTCCTCGCAGCAAAAACGTTCTGGCTCCAGCGCTGAAGGTAAATGATGAAACAGCAAAGTAAAGCCTACATGCGAGACTGACGTGCTGGGCACTGCACAATGTCTGCTCTGAGACGCTCTCGCACTCTTTCTCATTCTTCTGCTGGGCTTGAAGGAAGAGGGAGGGACCCGACACAGCCACGATTAACAAGAAGTCCTGCATGATTTCCGGTTGATGACCCGCAATAGCCAAGGAGTCATGGTCATGGCAGGGCGAGCTCATGTCTGCCTGGGAGGCGCTTTCACCTTGCAACCGGTGAATTGCGGAATTGCTAGGGGACGCATCAACTTGCATAACCGGCCTGTTACTCAGGCCTGCATTCGCGGACGCGAGGCCATCACTCATACGAATTCACAATATCCAGGACACCAGCCCGGGCTTGAGTCGGCTGGGCTCCTGAGGTGTGAAAACCTGGTTGAGATGTGACTAGAACTGTAGATGCCTCTGCTCTTCGCGCGCAGTTCTGTAGTGTAGCAAACCCACATGTCCATCAAGAAGAAGTGAATGTTGCAATGGGCTCTGCCTGTGAGACGGCACTGCTCACACGGACAACTTCCGACCAACTCCGCACCATGTACAATTGAAACTCCACGAACCAGGCTACCGTTGCGCGAGGCAAAGAGCGGCAATCTTTTTCAGCTCGCACTGCAGGAGCAGTGTGTTGTCAAAGCTGTCAAGAGTGCGTCATTGCTTCGGAGGTCTCGGCCTCAGCGCAGGGCATGTGAAATTCAACCCACCTCCCTAGACCTAGACTCTAGACTACAGCAAGCCCAGTGTCAACATACGGGTCCTGCTCTGCTTGGGATGTGCGATTGCAGTTTTGCTGGGTCGAAGGTTTAAGGTCGGGGACTCCGGCAAATGGTGTTTACCTACACGGCTGGTGTGGGTTTTACATGGATGCCTTGCACACTCAGGTTTACAAGGTCGCGATGATTTGTAAATTGCATGTAAATAACGATGTAAGGGCACGAAGCCCCAGCACAACTGAAGGCTACAACAGTGCACGGGATTCTGCAGCTTCAAATCAACAGGGCTCTCAGTTTGGGATTTGGGTTTCGGAGCTTTGAGCGAGTGTTTCAGGGTGCTGCTCGCCTGTGTTGAAACCTAAACTCTAAACCCTAACCCAAGATTCCCTAGCCGTAGCCCTAAGCCCCAGATTTTAAACTCTGATATCTAAACCCAAAACTCTAATCCTGAAAACACTGCGGAGGCCTGCCTGAATGTGAATATGTCTCCGAATGCTACAAACTAACCGTTTTTGCGACATCACTTCTGAAGATTGACGTTCACTTCGGAACTGCTATCATTTTCATCGTTTGTGGGCTGTAGGAAAGACACATGAAGTTCAGGTATTTCCAATTAAAACAGATGCCCTCAGCCATACTGGGGAAGGAACTGGAAAGAGCACCAACAACGCTAAACTTCGGTGATAGTATCGGGAAATGACGTCATGATTCGACAGCCTTGACATACTGCGAACGCAACATTCGGATGAAAATCCACAGAGGAAGTCATCTACTAGAAAGAGCAATGGTTGTTACAGATGAATACGATGTGCATGCTAGAGTGGAACAGACTGAACACAAGAGAGTGATGAAAAGACGCCTAGAAGTCTCACTTACCTGTAAGTATGTCTGCTCGCGTTTGGCACGAACAAACGAACCCAAGAAATCCGTATCGAGGCTACACATATTAACATACACGTCCCAGATGAGATCATCATCGGGGGCATGTGCGTTATACCAGGAGAGACTCACTAGAGACGGAGAAGCCTGTGAAGCAGGCGGTAGAAAGGCATTTTCAACATTCAGATAAGACAAAGATGTGTGAGAACAACTTGCAGCGGGTGAGTTGAGGGGTTATGGTCATGCGCCCAGTGGGTTGCTCAGCATCCGGTGGTACGTCAAAACGGGGCGTCCTGCAGTCTGGCCGGCCTGCTCTTCTCGAACTCCAGCTCTTTCTGTAGTTCGTCATCCACCTGGCAGCAGAAAAATTGGGTACTCCCATCCGCGCATTGAGCTAATGTAGTGCCTCCTCTGCCGTGCAAGTCTTGACATCGACGACTTTGACAGGGCCTTGGATAGAATCTCCAAGCTAAACTAAACGCTTCAGGACAATAAAGCACAGTCTATGCAGCTTCTGGCCGCTTCAAGCAGATTCGAGGCATGCTCCCGCCAACCAGAATGCCACACGCCCGTGCATGTCGGTTGCCAGCAACGCGGCCTTTTGCTTTCTTGGCTTTGCCATGCCCCTCGCCACGAACAGCCCCCCTCTCCGACATTGAGCTCAAAAGCTGTACGATGCAAAGGGATCAGGTTGTCAAAGGGGGTCGCTAACGAGGTGTGCTTGTGACCTCAGACTCGTGGGCCAACTCAACCGAACCCAGCATCGCTCCCCTCCTCGTCGCTGTTCGTGTCCTCGGTCTCTGCCTTCGCTCTCTTCTCCACCTTCTTGGCCTCCTCGGGGTTTAGGGAGACGGAGACGAGGGAGGCATGAGAATGAGTATAGAAACCTTAAAAAAAGGGGCAGAGGTATGCAGCTCAAAGGCATTCTCCAGCCAGGACGGAATTGGACAATTTAGGCAAGATGGCTTCAACTTCAGCTTTCAGAATAACCGCTGCTGCTGTCGAACTCCCCGTCCTTCTTCAGCTTTTTCTTCTTCTTCTTCCTGGAACAAGCCATGCCACATAGATCATGATGCTGCGTTTAGATACCACGCTGCTCCCAACAGAATCCATGGAAGACATGCAAAGATGTGGGACATTTTCTCATGATTGCAGGCGAAAGACTTTTTCTTCTTCTTCTCCTGAAGCAGCGATGTACTGCCATGGCCAGCGAACCAAACATCCAGAACATCAGCAATTCGGTAGTAGCTCCTACACACTGAGATGTCGATGTTGCGTGTCGCGGGCAGGTACTAAAGCCTTGAGAGAACTGTATGTCGCAGTTGCTACTGCTACACCACTGGTCCCAGCTCCTCAGAGTCTGAGTCGCTGGAGGACGAAGTGAGCCTCGTCAACAGGTGGCGGGCTCTCATCATGACATCAATGATACGAACCAGGGCACCCGGAGACCCCCGCAGCTCGAAGGTTCTGTGTCAGAAGCTTCGCCAGTGGCACGTGGAAGCCTGCAGCACAGCAGCAGAATGTAAGATCCATAAACGCCAAACATGTGGAAAGGTTCTGTCGACTGCAATATGAATGTAACGTAGGAACAAAAGCCTGGCCCCAGATCCAGAGTGCTGTTCTTCCGTTCTGAGTCTGTGTCCGTTCCTGTCTGCCGGTGCAACTCTGAGTGGGCGAGGGAATGCTCGTGCGTGCTCTTAAGTGCTCGTTGCGTGAGTGAGTGAGTGAGTGAGTGAGTGAGTGAGTGAGTGAGTGAGTGAGTGAGGGAGTGAGGGAGTGAAGGGGTGAGGGAGTGAGGGAGTGAGTGAGTGAGTGCGTTAGTGAGTGAGTTAGTGAGTGAGTACAGTGCCATGCTGTCAGCCATAGGAGCGACGTGCCGTGTTTCGTTGCAGTTGCTGCGCAAAGTGATGCAAAGTGCGATGTCGTCGGCCACAGAAGTGCAGCGTTATGTTTTAGCTTGGGCCACGAAGACCCATTCAGTATGCCTTGCAAACGTACCTGCCATAGTGACGCACCTGGGGAAGGATGTTCCAGCTGGTGGTCGTTCAACATGCTGCTTTGAGAGTGTTTGTTGATGCTTCTTGATCACATGTCAGTCTGTGAGCTGCTTCTCCGACTGCAGATTATACGTGCAAGTGAGGCATCAGGTCTACGGCTGATTCCTGACACTTACCGATTCAACCTGACTTGGAGTGATATACCGGACTCTCCAGAACGACTTGAGACCTGAGCCACATTGCGTCAAGTGTGTTGGTTGGTGTGGGTGTGTGTGTGTGTGTGCGCGTTAATGTGTTGGTGTGTCGGTGTGTCGGTGTGTCTGGTATGTTGGTGTGTTGGTGTGTTGGTTTGTGGGCGTGTAATCCCTGCAACAAAGGGCTGGTAATCAACAACAATTGCCCTTGTAAGAGCAGGGGGCGTGGCGGTCATTCCGCAGCCATGCCAACGAAGCTATGGGAAATGACTGGAAGGGAAACTGGACGCAGTTTCCTGTGCCTGCGCCTGCGAAGAGCAACCGATGCCTCATGGACGTCGGATCGTAGCTTAGGCGTCTGTATCTACCTTTGAAAACGGGTTTTGAGGCAGTTCTTGAGTGCAATTGTCAACGTGCAGCGTGCAGTCATGTTGTTTGATGAACGGTTACGTGTGATCAAGTAAAGATTTGCAAAGAGTAGTATGAAGTCTCTAGTCCCGCAGACTAGACAAAGACAAAAGCAACAAATCAAAGGGTGTGGGTGGGTGGGTGGGGGTGTGTGTGTGTGTGTGTGTGTGTGTGTGTGGGTGTGTGTGTGTGTGTGCGTGCTGTAGGAGCTCCTCTTTCAAACAGTCCAGACCCTCATTTCTGACCCCTCACCTG